GTTTTCTAAAACAAATCAATGTTTCAATAAAACAATTTTAATATTTTCTGAATTTATTGTCAAATTGTTGAGTGATTCTTGTGTTGAGAATACGAGCGCTTATATACAGTCAGACATTACTCGCTATCAAAGTACTCGCTATACTCGTATTCCTGACTACAATTGATAGACATATCGATGAATTCAAAGTACAATTTTCTGCTATAATAAGCAATTTTTTATTACATAATTAATAATAACTGAACTTTTGATTTCTTTCAAACTTTATCATACCCAGGTACAGAGCATTAGCTTTTAAACAGTTGTTCACATTTATTTTAACTCATGTATTGGACAAAGTCTAAACAGTGTACATTTAATCTTAATTCGTTTATCCGTTTGATATAATATGTTCTTTAAATCCAAAGTTTTATATAATATCTGTGTAACTTATAAAAATAAACTATAGTAGTAAAATTATAGTAATTTACTATAAAAATCTATTTAACTGGATTTATTTTAATATATTCCAGTCTAAAATTTTTTTAAACTTAAATTTTATATATTTATTAAGTAATATTTATTATTACTGTTAATATATTACAATTATAGTATTTAAAGTGTTTATATATTTCTTATTATTACTGCATATGTGGGTCTCGAGTGGTCATAGTATAGTCTACTTAAACAATTCGATATTCTTTTATTACAATTTTAAATTTTATATAGTCTTAAGTAAACTATTATTCTAGTTTGACAGATTTAATAATAATTACAATAATAAGTTTAAATTATTTTGTCTATACTTTATTTGAATCCAATGAATTACATAATAAGGAACATAATTATAATCTTTAGTATAAAGTCTTACAGATAAGTGCTTGTAATTAATTGTTCATTGTTTAGGGTTTAATCAATATGCAAAAAATAAAATATGCACAACAGATTAATAGTTAAAGTTCTGTGCTAGGTACGATAATATTTGAAAGAAATCTAAAGTACAGTATTATTAATTATATAATAAAAAATTGCTTATTATAGCAGAAAATTGTACTTTGAATTCATCGATATGTCTATCAATTGTAGTCAGGAATACAATAAAGGATTAAATGTTTTGATAGCGAGTAATGTCTGACTGTATATAAGCGCTCGTATTCTCAACACAAGAATCACTCAAGAATTTGACAATAAATTCAGAAAATATTAAAATTGTTTTATTGAAACATTGATTTGTTTTAGAAAACTATTAAAAATGAAATTTTTAGTCTTTGGAGTCCTATTCCTGACCGCACTCTACGGTATGTCTTATTGATTATGAATATTATAAAAGTTTTAAATATTTATTCATATATTTATAGCTTCGGATGCATTCACTATAAGCCGGGCTAATGACGATCCCATAAAGGATGCGTTGCTGAAGGAGGTGTCGGAGCTCTTGGATGAGGCGATTAAAGCGATCGACACTTTGAAAAAGAGTGGAAAGGATGAGCTGAGGAAAGGACTCACGAAAGCTATTGAAATTACTAAAGATATGGAAACTAAGCTCAAGACACTGAACCCAACCACTGATTTGGGAAAAGTGTTGTACAAAGGGATCGACACTCTGGTGGTTGAGGCGGAGGCGTGGCTCGAGTCGGAGCTCAAGAATGTTCCCCCGAAGGAGGCCAACGATGATATCAAGGATGTAGTCCTCAAACAAGTCGCACAGATCTTAGACGACGCGCGCAAAGCCATCGACACTCTGAAGGCCTCCGGAAAGGATGCGCTCATCAATGGACTCAAGAAATCCATGGCTCGAGTCGGAGCTCAAGAATGTGCCGCCAAAGGAGGCCAACGATGACATCAAGGATGTGGTCCTCAAACAAGTCGCACAGATCTTAGACGACGCGCGCAAAGCCATCGACACTCTGAAGGCCTCCGGAAAGGATGCGCTCATCAATGGACTCAAGAAATCCATTGCTTTAGTCCAAGACATGGAGAAACAGTTGGCAGACCTGCACCCAACCACTGATATGGGGAAAGTGCTGGTGGGAGGCATCCAAAAGTTGGCCAAAGATGGTGAGGCATACCTTCAGGACGAGCTCAAGAAAGTGCCCCCACAGTAACCTAGCTCATACAATATTGTCGAACAATATTTTACAATAGATCTCTACAATTAACCCATTCATAAAATCTGCAGGTTAATTATAAAATAAATTATGAACAAATTATATAATTAATTATTGTATTAAAACCGTGAATCAGCATTGAAATAAAAATATATGCTTTAAATATTTCTTAAAAAGTAATAATTTGCCATTCATTGAATTTAAAATACTTTTTTGATTCATATTATTAGATTGAAATTGTTAATCATTGACTTTTACTATTTTGATTATTCCTTAGTATTTTGACTTTTCAAATATTTTTACATATCATGCTATTATCTCAATGTCTCATTACTTATTTTATCACTTAATTTTTAAATAACAAAATAACTATAAGAATAATATTATATATTTAAAATTAATTTGACTTTGAAAAATTAAGAAAATGTACACTGTATTTGCTGTTAACTCAAACACAAATCGTTTGTGACTTATACCTACTTTACAACTCATTATTAATTATACTGTATTGTGATTATTTTTAAGTCTTTCACATTTAAGAAAAGTAAAGTTTAGAAAACTCTATCCAGTAATTGTGTAATCCAGTAAAATAATTTCGCATCGATTCACATACAGTGGAAAATTTAAATCTTTAATTCAAATTTCCAGGTATTTAAAGTCACTTTCTATTCATTCACACCATATCTCTGCTCACAACTAGTTTGCAGTTTCAGTAGCACAAAGGCTTTCAAAAACTAATTTTTATTTTTCAGTCATTTATAACAAGTCTTTTCAAGTGTTTTAAACATAATTTTTGCTCAATTATTACCACTCAAAGACATCATCTTTAAGACAATGTCCGACAACTTCGAGGATCAGATTGCAGTCCCCGAGGAAGAGATGGTGGCTTCGGATGAGGTAATGCCGGCTCCAGAGGACGAGGAGGTCGACGAGAACGCTATAAGTATTGAATGGATTCACAATTACTGGATAGAGTTTTCTAAACTTTACTTTTCTTAAATGTGAAAGACTTAAAAATAATCACAATACAG